TAACTTACAAACTGTTAACATTAAACAGGTTCAGTAACTAGTTGACTTTATAAACTGTTAACATTAAACCAGGTTCAGTGACTAGTTAACTTTACAAACTGTTAACATTAAACAGGTTCAGTAACTAGTTGACTTTATAAACTGTTAACATTAAACCAGGTTCAGTGACTAGTTAACTTTACAAACTGTTAACATTAAACCAGTTTCAGTGACTAGTTAACTTTATAAACTGTTATCATTAAACCAGGTTCAGTGACTAGTTAACTTTACAAACTGTTAACATTAAACCAGGTTCAGTGACTAGTTAACTTTACAAACTGTTAACATTGAACCAGGTTCACTAACTAGTTAACTTTACAAACTGTTAACATTAAACCAGGTTCAGTAACTAGTTGACTTTATAAACTGTTAACATTAAACCAGGTTCAGTGACTAGTTAACTTTACAAACTGCTAACATTAAACCATGTCCAGTAACTAGTTAACTTTATAAACTGTTAACATTAAACCAGGTTCAGTAACTAGTTAACTTTATAAACTGTTAACATTAAACCAGGTTCAGTGACTAGTTGACTTTATAAACTGTTAACATTAAACCAGGTTCAGTAACTAGTTAACTTTACAAACTGTTAACATTAAACCAGTTTCAGTGACTAGTTAACTTTACAAACTGTTAACATTAAACCAGGTTCAGTGACTAGTTAACTTTACAAACTGTTAACATTAAACCAGGTTCAGTAACTAGTTGACTTTATAAACTGTTAACATTAAACCAGTTTCAGTGACTAGTTAACTTTATAAACTGTTATCATTAAACCAGGTTCAGTGACTAGTTAACTTTACAAACTGTTAACATTAAACCAGGTTCAGTGACTAGTTAACTTTACAAACTGTTAACATTGAACCAGGTTCACAAACTAGTTAACTTTACAAACTGTTAACATTAAACCAGGTTCAGTGACTAGTTAACCTTACAAACTGTTAACATTAAACCAGGTTCAGTAACTAGTTGACTTTATAAACTGTTAACATTAAACCAGGTTCAGTGACTAGTTAACTTTATAAACTGTTAACATTAAACCAGGTTCAGTGACTAGTTAACTTTACAAACTGTTAACATTAAACAGGTTCAGTAACTAGTTGACTTTATAAACTGTTAACATTAAACCAGGTTCAGTGACTAGTTAACTTTACAAACTGTTAACATTAAACAGGTTCAGTAACTAGTTGACTTTATAAACTGTTAACATTAAACCAGGTTCAGTGACTAGTTAACTTTACAAACTGTTAACATTAAACCAGTTTCAGTGACTAGTTAACTTTATAAACTGTTATCATTAAACCAGGTTCAGTGACTAGTTAACTTTATAAACTGTTAACATTAAACCAAGTTCAGTGACTAGTTAACTTTATAAACTGTTAACATTAAACCAGGTTCAGTAACTAGTTGACTTTATAAACTGTTAACATTAAACCAGGTTCAGTAACTAGTTGACTTTATAAACTGTTAACATTAATCCAAGTTCAGTAACTAGTTAACTTTGTAAACTGTTAACATTAAACCAGGTCCAGTAACTAGTTAACTTTATAAACTGTTAACATTAAACCAGGTTCAGTAACTAGTTGACTTTATAAACTGTTAACATTAAACCAGGTTCAGTGACTAGTTGACTTTATAAACTGTTAACATTAAACCAGGTTCAGTGACTAGTTAACTTTATAAACTGTTAACATTAAACAGGTTCAGTAACTAGTTGACTTTATAAACTGTTAACATTAAACCAGGTTCAGTGACTAGTTAACTTTACAAACTGTTAACATTAAACCAGTTTCAGTGACTAGTTAACTTTACAAACTGTTAACATTAAACCAGGTTCAGTGACTAGTTAACTTTACAAACTGTTAACATTAAACCAGGTTCAGTAACTAGTTGACTTTATAAACTGTTAACATTAAACCAGGTTCAGTGACTAGTTAACTTTACAAACTGTTAACATTAAACCAGGTTCAGTGACTAGTTAACTTTACAAACTGTTAACATTAAACAGGTTCAGTAACTAGTTGACTTTATAAACTGTTAACATTAAACCAGGTTCAGTGACTAGTTAACTTTACAAACTGTTAACATTAAACCAGTTTCAGTGACTAGTTAACTTTATAAACTGTTATCATTAAACCAGGTTCAGTGACTAGTTAACTTTACAAACTGTTAACATTAAACCAGGTTCAGTGACTAGTTAACTTTACAAACTGTTAACATTGAACCAGGTTCACTAACTAGTTAACTTTACAAACTGTTAACATTAAACCAGGTTCAGTGACTAGTTAACTTTACAAACTGTTAACATTAAACCAGGTTCAGTAACTAGTTGACTTTATAAACTGTTAACATTAAACCAGGTTCAGTGACTAGTTAACTTTACAAACTGTTAACATTAAACCAGGTTCAGTGACTGGTTAACTTTATAAACTGTTAACATTAAACCAGGTTCAGTGACTAGTTGACTTTACAAACTGTTAACATTAAACAGGTTCAGTAACTAGTTGACTTTATAAACTGTTAACATTAAACCAGGTTCAGTAACTAGTTGACTTTATAAACTGTTAACATTAAACCAGGTTCAGTGACTAGTTAACTTTATAAACTGTTAACATTAAACCAGGTTCAGTAACTAGTTGACTTTATAAACTGTTAACATTAAACAGGTTCAGTGACTAGTTAACTTTATAAACTGTTATCATTAAACCAGGTTCAGTGACTAGTTAACTTTACAAACTGTTAACATTAAACCAGGTTCAGTGACTGGTTAACTTTATAAACTGTTAACATTAAACCAGGTTCAGTGACTAGTTGACTTTATAAACTGTTAACATTGAACCAGATTTAGTAACTAGTTGACTTTATAAACTGTTAACATTAAACCAGGTTCAGTGACTAGTTAACCTTACAAACTGTTAACATTAAACCAGGTTCAGTAACTAGTTAACTTTATAAACTGTTAACATTAAACCAGGTTCAGTAACTAGTTGACTTTATAAACTGTTAACATTAAACCAGGTTCAGTGACTAGTTAACTTTACAAACTGTTAACATTAAACCAGGTTCAGTAACTAGTTGACTTTATAAACTGTTAACATTAAACATGTTCAGTGACTAGTTGACTTTATAAACTGTTATCATTAAACCAGGTTCAGTGACTAGTTAACTTTACAAACTGTTAACATTAAACAGGTTCAGTGACTAGTTAACTTTATAAACTGTTATCATTAAACCAGGTTCAGTGACTAGTTCACTTTACAAACTGTTAACATTAAACCAGGTTCAGTGACTGGTTAACTTTATAAACTGTTAACATTAAACCAGGTTCAGTGACTAGTTAACTTTACAAACTGTTAACATTAAACCAGGTTCAGTGACTAGTTGACTTTATAAACTGTTAACATTGAACCAGATTTAGTAACTAGTTGACCTTATAAACTGTTAACATTAAACCAGGTTCAGTGACTAGTTGACTTTATAAACTGTTAACATTGAACCAGATTTAGTAACTAGTTGACTTTATAAACTGTTAACATTAAACCAGGTTCAGTGACTGGTTAACTTTATAAACTGTTAACATTAAACCAGGTTCAGTGACTAGTTAACCTTACAAACTGTTAACATTAAACCAGGTTCAGTGACTAGTTGACTTTATAAACTGTTAACATTGAACCAGATTTAGTAACTAGTTGACCTTATAAACTGTTAACATTAAACCAGGTTCAGTGACTAGTTGACTTTATAACTGTTAACATTGAACCAGATTTAGTAACTAGTTGACTTTATAAACTGTTAACATTAAACCAGGTTCAGTGACTAGTTAACTTTACAAACTGTTAACATTAAACCAGGTTAAGTGACTAGTTAACTTTACAAACTGTTAACATTAAACCAGGTTCAGTGACTAGTTAACCTTATAAACTGTTAACATTAAACCAGGTTCAGTAACTAGTTGACTTTATAAACTGTTAACATTAAACCAGGTTCAGTGACTAGTTGACTTTATAAACTGTTAACATTAAACCAGGTTCAGTAACTAGTTGACTTTATAAACTGTTAACATTAAACCAGGTTCAGTAACTAGTTAACTTTACAAACTGTAACATTAAACCAGGTTCAGTAACTAGTTAACTTTACAAACTGTTAACATTAAACCAGGTTCAGTAACTAGTTGACTTTATAAACTGTTAACATTAAACCAGGTTCAGTGACTAGTTAACTTTATAAACTGTTAACCAGTTTCAGTGACTAGTTCTAGTTAATCTTTGCTCAGGTGAATCTATTCAGAGCGACGACATGAGAACCTTCAGCTGAAACACAGAAACAGGAAACTGGACGACCTCAGAGGTTTTAGAGCCAGTTAGCAGAAAAACCACAGACTGCTGCAGGGGCGCAACAAACAGAGACTTTACTGAGCAAACATGAATATGAACATGAATATATTAATATAAATATAAATATAAACATGAATATTAATATAAATATGAATACAATATAAATATGCTGTACATTAAGAACAGAACCAGCAGCATCACTAAACATCCCAACAATCTGGAAACTGAATCCAAATCAGAACAAAAAAATAATTTAATATAATAGATTATTATGATATAGAGTTAAATTGATAAATAGGTTTATTGATATTCAGACAAGTTCATTAAAAATATTGAGATCAATAAATTATATTTTATGTTCTAAATAGTGTAAATAGTAAAACTATTCATTTGTTTGATGTATGTTTAAAACACCTGCAGGCTGAACAGATTATTAGTTATAGTCAATATAATATAATACTTATTGATTATATTAGCTATAATCAATATTATATAATGCTTATTGATTACATTAGTTATATTATTAATATCTGAATAAAACCTGAGGAAGTTTCTGTTATTTAGTTTATTTAGTTCTATCAGAACAACATTGAACCAGAAACTAACAAAGACAGAAAACAGTTTTACCTCCATTTGGTTGTTTCTGTTGTTTCCTGTAATATTTGAACATCACTGTAAATTATGATTTCATCTCCATCTGCATCATTATCTGGGAAAATTAAATAAATTGATATTTAGTTAAAAAATGATCAGCTGAATAAAAACATGTTGAACTTTTGCAAATATGAACTTAAAAATAAAAACTAAAATAAGTGACATTGATCTCACCTTTAGATTTCCTGTTAATGTGACGTTTGACCAGTAGAACCAGTAGAACCAGTAGAACCAGAACAGCAGCTGATAGAGACAAAGGACCATAGAGGAGAAAATGGGAGGAAGATGAAGAGGAAGATGATGATGATGGAGGAGGAGTTGATGGAGACGATGTGGTTGATGGTTTCTCTAAAATAAAGTTTTAATAAGTTATAAATTCATGTTAACCTTAAAGTTCAGGATTTATTGAACCTCCCTGACCTCTGACCTTTGACAGAGACCTGCTGGATGGAGACTCTCCAGAACCGCTGATGCTACATTTATAGAGGCCTTCATCAGAGCTGGAAACATGGAGGAGGGTCATGCTGCCTGCTGATCCATCACCAATGAAGGAGCCATCTTTATAGAAAGCAGCTGGGAGGTTGTGGGTTGGATTCCTTGCTCTGCAGCTCAGAGTGACGTCATCTCCCTCCATCACAGGGAGGACAGGACTCTGCAGGATCACTGATCCTTTCAACACAGAGACAAACTACAGCATTTCATCCATTTCCACACAGCAACACTAACTCCACAGTCTGATCTTACCAGAGACAGAGAGCTGGATGCTGCAGCTGCTGCTGCTGCTGCAGCTGCTGCTGCTGCTGCTGCTGCTGCTGCTGCTGCTGGAGGATCCAGACTCACACCAGTACAGACCAGTATCTGATGGATGCATGAAGCTCATGTTACAGGTAGAACCGTTTAATTTCCCCCATCCTTCACATGGCTTCCTGGTTCCTCTGCTGGTGTTTCTCCTCACTGTCCATCCATCCTCACAGATCAGAGTCACTGATTCATCCTTAAAGAACTGGGATCTGCTGGGACTCACAGTCATGAACTGGAAACTGGAAAATAGAATAATCATATCAGTTTTTAAACTGTTGAATAAAGTGTAAGTGAAATTAAAGTATTGTATTTAATGGTTTAATTTGTTTCATTTCTTTCTGAACATGTCGTTTGCATTCTGTAACGTTTCAAGGTGACATAATATAACGAACCTTCATCCACTGTGCAGAACACCAACAAGGTCACAACTAAAGAGAAATAAACATTTTTAGATCAAAATCTGAAACAATTTATAATCTGAGAAACTTGAATATCAAACAAAAAATCTATACATTTATAAATGTGCTCATTTTCTTTAATGCTCTGATTTCTGACCGGACTCTAAATAACCCATTAGAACCATGACGGGCAGCAGAACTGTGACCCAAACGGGCCATAAAGTGTTTGTACTCACAGAGTGAAGCTGGTAGAGATGTTGGTCTCATCGTAGCTCTGACTGATGTGAAGCTTCTGTTCAGCTGCTTTTACTGAGCTGGACCCGCCTCCTTCCTCCACATCAAGGGCCCAGAGCAGCAGACAAAGCTTCACCGGATCCACTCACATTAACTCAGCTCTCAACCACCAGCAGCACCAGGACTGCTTACATTTCAGGACAATAAATACGTTTCAAATACCCGACAGTTAAACTGGTCTCTGAAACAACCTGGATAAATAAAGTTAAATAAAATAAATGAATCAAAGTTTCTTTCTTATCAAGTAACTTGGGAAACATTTGGCAAGAGGAGCAGAGAGACATTATTAAGGATGTAGAGAGTCAGGAAATAGAGAGCAAGTATCAGGACGGGGGGTAAATCCTGACCTGAGGGGGTAAATCCTGGCCTGAGGGGTAAATCCTGGCCTGGAGGGGTAAATGATGCTGGGGCTGCACCTGGTATAGAGACTTCAACTCACCTGAGTCAATAATGAGGTCAGTAGCAGAACTCTGCAGAACTGGACTGCAGTCAGCAGGTGATTCAGATGTTACTGCAGCAAGTTGCAGCAGGGAGACGTTGAAGGCTTGCAGGACACCTGGAGGACAGGATTGGACCCTGAGGACGGAATTGGACCCTGAGGACAGGATTGGACCCTGAGGACAGGATTGGACCTTGAGGACAGGATTGGACCCTGAGGACGGAATTGGACCCTGAGGACAGGATTGGACCCTGAGGACAGGATTGGACCTGGAGGACAGGATTGGAACCTGAGGACGGGATTGGACCCTGAGGACGGGATTGGATCTGGAGGACAGGATTGGACATTTCTGCAGTTTAATGTGATCCTGGTTTCTTTATTATTCTCAGTGTTTCATTTTGGTTCCATCAGGCTTGTTCCTGTTTCTGTTTAGTTCTCATCAGTGATTCTAGTTACTTTAGTTTTATTATGTTTCATAGCTTTACTGCTCTCTCTCTCGCCCACTGTGCCTCTCTCTCTCCCCCTCACACCTGTAACCAGCTAACTGGTTTCCATTCAGTCTCCCAGTACTTAGTCTCTCTTTCTCAGTCACTCCCTGCTGGTTCCTTGTTTCTTCTTCTGCATCGTTTTGTATCATCTGGATTCTTTTGTCAGGATTATTTTTGTTTGACTTTCTGTGTTTCTGTCACTTTTTCATTAAATCCTCAAAATCCATTTGTTACCTTGGTTTCTTTGCTTTGGGTCCAAACCACTAAATTTGACAGGATGCAGGAGGGAGATGCGGTGGTGCCCCCTAGTGGGCGGTGCTGATATTGCAACAATAATATCAGCAAATATTGAGTATATAATACTGAATAGTTGCTGTTTTTTATTTTCTATGTTGTGTTCAGACAGTCTCATGTTTACAGCAGAAATCACATTATTATATGGAATCATATTGTTTATATTTGGCTCAATCTTTCAAACTGTAATGTAAAAATGTGAAGGAGATAAACTATAATACAGACACTTATCAATCTGACATCTGGCCATATATATATATATATATATATATATATATATATATATATATATATTATATATATATATATATATATATATATAAAAAAAAAAATTCCCTTCTCACCCACCGCGGGTGGTTCTTATCCTCTGAGCTCGGGTCCTCTACCAGAGGCCTGGGAGCTTGAGGGTCCTGCAGTATCTTGTGCCAAGGACTGCTGCACATTTCTGGACTGAGATGTCTGATGTTGTTCCTGGGATCTGTTGGAGCCACTGCTCCAGTTTGGGGGTTACTGCCCCGAGGGCCCCGATGACCACAGGCACCACTGTGGTCTTCACCTTCCAGGCCCTCTCCAGTTCTTCCCTGAGGCCCTGGTATTTCTCTAGTTTCTCGTGCTCCTTTTTCCTGATGTTGCAATCACTTGGTATTGCTACATCTACCACAACGGCTTTCCTCTGTTGTTTATCCACTACGACAATGTCTGGTTGGTTCGCCATTACCATTTTGTCTGTCTGGATCTGGAAGTCCCACAGGATCTTAGCTCTGGCGTTCTCCACCACCTTTGGGGGTGTTTCCCACTTTGATCTTGGGGTTTCCAGTCCATATTCTGCACAGATGTTTCTGTACACTATGCCTGCCACTTGATTATGTCGCTCCATGTACGCTTTCCCTGCCAGTATCTTGCACCCTGCTGTGATGTGCTGGACTGTCTCAGGGGCCTCCTTGCACAACCTACACCTTGGGTCTTGTCTGGTGTGGTAGATCTGGGCCTCTATTGCTCTGGTGTTAAGGGCCTGTTCCTGGGCGGCCAGGATGAGGGCCTCTGTGCTGTCCTTGAGTCCAGCTTTTTCCAGCCATTGATAGGATTTACTGATATCAGCCACTTGGGTTATTTGCTGGTGGTACATCCCATGTAGGGGTTTGTCCTCCCATGATGGTATCTCTGGCACCTCGACCTCCGTTCCCTGTTGTCTGAGACAACAATCAATCTGATTTATCAGATTCAATTCAATTTATCAATCTGACATCTGGCCATATATATATTATATATATATATATATATATATATATATATATATATATATAAAAAATTCCCTTCTCACCCACCACGGGTGGTTCTTATCCTCTGAGCTCGGGTCCTCTACCAGAGGCCTGGGAGCTTGAGGGTCCTGCAGTATCTTGGCTGTGCCAAGGACTGCACATTTCTGGACTGAGATGTCTGATGTTGTTCCTGGGATCTGTTGTAGCCACTGCTCCAGTTTGGGGGTTACTGCCCGAGGGCCCCGATGACCACAGGCACCACTGTGGTCTTCACCTTCCAGGCCCTCTCCAGTTTTCTTCCCTGAGGCCCTGGTATTTCTCCAGTTTCTCATGCTCCTTTTTCCTGATGTTGCAATCACTTGGTATTGCTACATCAACCACAACGGCTTTCCTCTGATGTTTATCCACTACGACAATGTCTGGTTGGTTCGCCATTACCATTTTGTCTGTCTGGATCTGGAAGTCCCACAGGATCTTAGCTCTGGTGTTCTCCACCACCTTTGGGGGTGTTTCCCACTTTGATCTCGGGGTTTCCAGTCCATATTCTGCACAGATGTTTCTGTACACTATGCCTGCCACTTGGTTATGTCGCTCCATGTACGCTTTCCCTGCCAGTATCTTGCACCCTGCTGTTATGTGCTGGACTGTCTCAGGGGCCTCCTTGCACAACCTACACCTTGGGTCTTGTCTGGTGTGGTAGATCTGGGCCTCTATTGCTCTGGTGTTTAGGGCCTGTTCCTGGGCGGCCAGGATGAGGGCCTCTGTGCTGTCCTTGAGTCCAGCTTTTTCCAGCCATTGGTAGGATTTACTGATATCAGCCACTTGGGTTATTTGCTGGTGGTACATCCCATGTAGGGGCTTGTCCTCCCATGATGGTATCTCTGGCACCTCAACCTCTGTTCCCTGTTGTCTGAGACATTCACTGAGCACATTGTCTGTTGAGGCTTTGTCCCTGATGTATTTATGGATCTTAGTTGTTTCGTCCTGGACAGTGGTTCTCACACTCACTAGTCCTCTGCCTCCTTCCTTGCGGCTCGTGTACAGTCTCAGGGTGCTGGATTTGGGGTGGAACCCTCCATGCATGGTTAGTAGCTTTCTAGTCTTAATATCTGTGGCTTTTATCTCCTCCTTTGGCCAGCTAATTATTCCAGCAGGGTATCTGATTACTGGCAGGGCATAGCTGTTTATCGCACGGATTTTGTTCTTGCCATTGAGCTGGCTTCTCAGGACTTGCCTTATTCGTTGGAGGTATTTAGCTGTGGCTCCTTTCCTTGTGGCCTCATCGAGGTTGCCATTGCTTGTGGTATACCCAGGTACTTGTAACTGTCCTCTATGTCTGCTATTGTTCCTTGTGGGAGTGAGACTCCTTCTGTGCGGATCACCTTCCCCCTCTTTGTGATCAGCCGACCACTTCTCTAGTCCGAATGACATCCCAATGTCAGTGCTGTAGATCCTGGTGGTGTGGATCAGTGAGTCGATGTCTCGCTCACTCTTGGCATACAGCTTGATGTCATCCATGTAGAGGAGGTGACTGATGTTGGCCCCATTTTTGAGTCGGTATCCGTAGCCAGTCTTGTTGATAATTTGGCTGAGGGGGTTCAGGCCTATGCAGAACAGTAGCGGGGACAGAGCATCTCCTTGGTATATGCCACATTTGATGGACACTTGTGCAAGTGGTTTGCAGTTGGCTTCAAGCGTGGTTTTCCACAGCTTCATCGAGTTTGCAATGAAGGCTCTCAGAATCCTGTTGATGTTATACATCTCTAGGCATTCAATGATCCAAGTATGCGGCATTGAGTTATAGGCTTTCTTGTAATCGATCCAAGCCATGCACAGGTTGGTGTGTCGGGTTTTGCAGTCTCGGGCAACTGTGCGGTCTACGAGGAGTTGGTGTTTGGCTCCTCTGGTATTTACACCGATACCCTTCTGTGCCGTGCTCATGTGTTTATCCATGTGTTTGCTTATCTTGGCCGCTATGATGCCTGACATGAGCTTCCAGGTTGTGGAGAGGCAGGTTATTGGTCGGTAGTTGGGTGGGACTGGACCCTTTGATGGATCCTTCTGGATTAGGATTGTCCGCCCTTCAGTTAACCATTCAGGGTGAGTCCCACTTTGTAGCAGCTGGTTCATTTGGGCCAGTCGCTCATGGAGAGCAGTGAGTTTCTTTAGCCAGTAGGCATGGATCATGTCAGGCCCTGGTGCTGTCCAGTTTTTCATGCCTGAGACTCTTTCTTGAACATCTGTCGCAGTGATGGTTACCGGGGCTTGCTCAGGGAGGTTGCTGTGGTCCTCTCGTAGAGAGATCAGCCACTGTGCATTGCTGTTGTGGGACGCCTCCCTTTCCCATATGCCTTTCCAGTATTGTTCAGTCTCCAGCCTTGGTGGGTCTGCTCTGTTGTTATTACCCTGCCATTGAGAGTACACCTTAGCTGGTTGAGTGGAGAAGAGCCGGTTAATCCTTCTGGATTCATTTGTGTATCTCTTTAGGCGGCTGGCCAAGGCTTGGAGCCTCTGTTTGGCAGTTTCAAGTGCTTCAGGTATGGGCATCTGCCTGTACTTTCTGGGTACTGGTCTTTTTCATTGTACCCTTGTGGAGCTCTGACAGTTGGCTCACTTCCCTCCTTGTTACCTTGATTTTAGCCTCTAACCGTCTTTTCCATGGTGGGTATTGGGTCTCATGGTTGCTCTTATAGCCAAGTATCTCAAGGATCACTGATGCTGAGTTGTAGATCAGCTCATTGGTTTCTGTTATGGTGTTGGTAGGGATCGTTCTCAATGCTGCATTCACAATCTCAATGAGACTTTCTGATGATACTTCACTCAGCCGTTGTAATTGGCGCCGGGGAGGCCTGGTTGTCATTCGGGTCATGATTCTCTCTCTCAGGTCAGCAGCTGTCTCGTTCAGCTCTGTTTCGCTCATTGGGGCCGTGTATCCCCTCACTGGGTGGGGACTTGTAGTTAAGTCCCCACAGTCCTGACATCCGGGTTCCTCCCTTTTGCCGTAGCATTTGTGTTGTATCTCGTCAATCTCAAGTTGTGATAGCAGTTGCCGTTTGCGGATGTTGGAACACTGAGCTACTAGTTTTTTAGCGCTTAGTGTTGACTGGGGATGTCGAAGTAACCATTCCTTCCCCAGTCTTTGCATGTAACCCCTCTGACTAGGGTTACTTGAGTAGTAGCATTCCAACAGATCCACATTTTCATCTCTCGCCCATTTCCGTCTTGTTCCAGTAGCCCATTTGTCATCAAGGTGCTCTGGTTCCCCAACACCTGACGCAGACCTTGTTTGGCCGGGCGACGTCTGAGCCGGCATGTTATGCAACTTAGTATCTCTCATGGTATGAGGTAGGCAGTAGCTTGAAGGGTCTTGCCTAAGGACCCAGACTGGATTCGAACCCTGCCCTCTCGGGTGATATACTGATGCCTTATGTATTCATATATATATATATATATATATATATATATATATATATATATATATATATATATATATATATATATATATATAATATATATATATATAAATATCCTGCAGCCAAATTATCAACAAGACTGGCTACGGATACCGACTCAAAATGGGGCCAACATCAGTCACCTACTCTACATGGATGACATCAAGCTGTACGCCAAGAGTGAGCGAGACATCGACTCACTGATCCACACCACCAGGATCTACAGCACTGACATTGGGATGTCATTCGGACTAGAGAAGTGTGGTCGGCTGATCACAAAGAGGGGGAAGGTCATCCGCACAGAAGGAGTCTCACTCCCACAAGGAACAATAGCAGACATAGAGGACAGTTACAAGTACCTAGGTATACCACAAGCAAATGGCAACCTCGATGAGGCCACAAGGAAAGGAGCCACAGCTAAATACCTCCAACGAATAAGGCAAGTCCTGAGAAGCCAGCTCAATGGCAAGAACAAAATCCGTGCGATAAACAGCTATGCCCTGCCAGTAATCAGATACCCTGCTGGAATAATTAGCTGGCCAAAGGAGGAGATAAAAGCCACAGATATTAAGACCAGAAAGCTACTAACCATGCATGGAGGGTTCCATCCCAAATCCAGCACCCTGAGACTGTACACGAGCCGCAAGGACGGAGGCAGAGGACTAGTGAGTGTGAGAACCACTGTCCAGGACGAAACAACTAAGATCCATAATACATCAGGGACAAAGCCTCAACAGACAATGTGCTCAGTGAATGTCTCAGACAACAGGGAACGGAGGTTGAGGTGCCAGAGATACCATCATGGGAGGACAAGCCCCTACATGGGATGTACCACCAGCAAATAACCCAAGTGGCTGATATCAGTAAATCCTACCAATGGCTGGAAAAAGCTGGACTCAAGGACAGCACAGAGGCCCTCATCCTGGCCGCCCAGGAACAGGCCCTAAACACCAGAGCAATAGAGGCCCAGATCTACCACACCAGACAAGACCCAAGGTGTAGGTTGTGCAAGGAGGCCCCTGAGACAGTCCAGCACATCACAGCAGGGTGCAAGATACTGGCAGGGAAAGCGTACATGGAGCGACATAACCAAGTGGCAGGCATAGTGTACAGAAACATCTGTGCAGAATATGGACTGGAAACCCCGAGATCAAAGTGGGAAACACCCCCAAAGGTGGTGGAGAACGCCAGAGCTAAGATCCTGTGGGACTTCCAGATCCAGACAGACAAAATGGTAATGGCAAACCAACCAGACATTGTCGTAGTGGATAAACAACAGAGGAAAGCCGTTGTGGTAGATGTAGCAATACCAAGTGATTGCAACATCAGGAAAAAGGAGAAACTGGAGAAATACCAGGGCCTCAGGGAAGAACTGGAGAGGGCCTGGAAGGTGAAGACCACAGTGGTGCCTGTGGTCATCGGGGCCCTCGGGGCAGTAACCCCCAAACTGGAGCAGTGGCTACAACAGATCCCAGGAACAACATCAGACATCTCAGTCCAGAAATGTGCAGCAGTCCTTGGCACAAGATACTGCAGGACCCTCAAGCTCCCAGGCCTCTGGTAGAGGACCCGAGCTCAGAGGATAAGAACCTCTGAGCTCGGTGGGTGAGAAGGGAATTTTTATATATATATATATATATATATTATATATATATTAATATATATATATATATATTATATATATATATATATATATATATATGTTTCTGATGTTTGGCCTCAATTCCTTCCTGAATGGTTGAGAAATGTTTTCATCTCCATGACAACCATTCAGTTGTGCAAAACACTTCTAGCCTCACTGACCTGCCCCCCCCCTCCCCCCCCCAAGACTTTGGCACTCAGCTCCTTCAGACTAGCCAGCAGCAATTAGCAAACAACTGCTGAGCTCATGATAGGAGTAACGCTGGTTAACTTTAAGGATTGATAGAGAAGCGATGATCACTGTGATGACTTCCTGAAGGCGGAGTTTCAGACAGAGCAACATGTTCTTAAAGAGGCAGAGTCCAAATCCGTCTGGAAATGAAGCTGCAGGAGAGAAGCAGCAGCTTAAAGATATGAAAACAGCAGAACAGAAGGAAACTGAGACCGGTTCTGGTTCTGTTCTGGTTCTGTTCTGGTTCTGCTGCTCCATTTGTTCATGTTTTGGTCATTTGTTTGTGTTGAATAAAAACTAAAGTTTGATTGAAATATGACACAAATATCAGAAAGTTTTCCTCTGTAACAATAAAATGCATTAATTAGTAAAGTTTAGAGCTTTTCATAAAGTCTGAATGCAAAAGGATCTTTTAACATAAAAATATTCATATCTGCCAAGTTGCACTAAAAATAAGACGTAACAGATGATAACGAGTCAGGAACCAAAGATTCGGCTCCTTTCAGAGAGCCGAGCCACGAGAGCCGGCTCTCTGAAAGGAGCCGAACTTCCCTCAGTCTGGACTTCCGCACTCTGTGGAGACTCACATGGATTATTGATCGGAACAGAAGATATTGGCGATTTAAGCCCAGCAAACAGTAAATGCAGTGAAGTTTAGTGTTTCCAGTTGGACTTGTTGTGTTTTGCTGTTATTTTAAGACATTTTCTGGTAAAGAAGCAGCGAACATAAAACTGTCGGCCAGAGAAACCAGGAAATGAATTCTTTACCTTGTTCTCCATTTCTATTGACTTTGGTGATGATCGACATCTCAGCCATTTCTCCAGGCGAGTTTCTGCAGGAATGATTTCATTTCAGTGATTCTGACAGAATGTTTTCTGATCTCGTTGTTCAGTCAATGATCCGGTTCGTTGGTTTCCAGAACCAGGAAACGTTTTGGTCAAAACACGACGTTGATCTGGATCATGATCAGAATCTGAATTATGTCTGTTTAGGACGGACATTGTCTGGTTTCATGGATCCCGTCTTCCAGGGCCGTGGCTACATCTTTCTGTCCCCTGAGCCCAAATGCATGTTGGGGCCCCTCGCCCTGAAACCTGCAATAATACAGAATTTATTTGTGAATTTTGCTTCATTAAGTCACATGGTCTGTATGTAAATATAATTTAGTATATTAAATTTGAGAGAATTTGTGTTTGTGGGACGATAACTGCTGAGTCATGCAGTTACCTAAAAAAAGTAATAATTATATTGTCATGTTTATTATTATCGCAGTATCCAACATGTCCATATCATAATGTGACGTCTTTAAAACATCTCTACTCTTATGTAAAAGGCTGCATATGTAATAATAAATGACCTTTAACCTCTGCTGTGTTTCCTCTCTTGCAGATCAGACAAACATCACAGCTGAAGCTGGACAGGACACATTTCTGCCCTGCAGATCTCCTGATCATAAACCTGTTATTGCTGTAGAGTGGGTTAGACCTGATCTGGGATCAGAATATGTTCTTCTGTATAGAAATGATCAGCTTGATCTAGAAAACCAGCATGTGATGTTTAAGGACCGAGTGGATCTGCAGGACAGACGGATGAAGGACGGAAACGTGTCTCTGGTTCTGAGGAACGTGACGACTGATGACAGAGGAGCATACGAGTGTCGAATCGTCCCGACAAACAGCTGGATGGAGACCATCATCATCATCAACCTGCATGTTCTTCATCCTCCAGGTGAGTCGATGTTTCATCATGTTTGTGTTGATGCATCATGGGGCCCTGAAGGCCCCGTCAGTCCAGCCAGGACTGATTTAGTGACAGAGAGTCAAGGAGACCCTGACATTAGAGATGAACCTCAGCAAGGCTTTAATCACAACACCGTTAGCATGCTAACAGCTCAGCTAGCACTGCAACATCCAGGGTCCCAAACCCACAGGATATGTCTGAATCTCAAGGTATCTGATTACCCACAATGCATTGCTGACCATGATGTGTTGTGGACCTTCCTTACTGGCTGCAGGTGTTTCTTTGCTGTCCTTGTTGTCTCTTTGTGTCTCCATCTGCCTGCATAGTTCAGTTTCTGTCCTCTGCTGTCCTCTGAGTGAATCACCTGCTCTGTGTTTGTCTCCATCCAGCATCGTTTCTCCAGACCGAATGACGTTTTCATGCCTTTGCAGTAGATCAGATGTTAGCTTACAGCTGTAGAGACAGTGTCTGATAGTGACCCCAGGTCTGAGGGGTCACTATTGATGATCAGGTGATTATTGGGCTGAACAGATCAACTGTTTGGTATTTTCAACATTAGCTGGAGGTTTTGGTGCAAATGGCCTCCAGAGTTGCTGTATTGATGGATTTACTATGAAGGTCAGAGTTCAGACTGTTGAGCTGCAGCTGCACCAGGATCCATGTTTCTATCATTATTCTGGTTCTGATGAGTCCAGGAAAGCAGAGATTGGTTTTACTGGTTTCCAGTCTCAGATGACTGGCTGCTTTATCACAATGCCTTTCTGTACCGACCATGGATTGACCCTTGACCTCTAATCTCAGCCGCTATGATGCAGAACAGAGCCGTCATGTTGAATGTATAAATGTTTTCATGCTGGGCCCGGATCTGTCCAGGCTGATCCACGGATCAGAACATCAGGGAGTCGAGTTACAAACTAAATGCTGCATTTGATGCAAACTGCAGAGTTTGGAGGAGCCATGTTGGGACGACTTCCTGAAGGCGGAGCTTCAGAGGGAGCAGGAGGTCTTAAAGAGACAGAGGCCCAATTTCTAGGAGTTTAATTAAATCTATTTTAAGTTATAATTGATCAGAAGTGAAGGTAACATAGTGACTTGATTGTGCTATAAATGACAATATAACTAGATAATACATAATAATACTGACTTTAATGCAAAGTAAATATCACTTCTTATGATGCAGAAGTTTTATTTTAACTGAGTTAAATGCATTTTCAGCCTGTCAGATAAACTAGGAACCAGAGCGACTCGCTGCTGCAACATGTCACAGCAGGAACAGAGCAGTTCCCAGCTTGTCCTGGAGGAGGCGCTGTTCTGACCCAGTGATCCGGTGAACGGATCCGGAAGCGGGTCACTGATCCGAGAGGCTCGGTTCACTCAGATGAACGTTCTTCTCATAGTTCCGCTCCTCCTTCTTCCTGTTTTCACTCGCAGCTCGTGGATCATCGCTGTTTGTGAATATTTGGTATTTTATTGATTATTGGCCGAATATCAGCAAATCTAATCAGGTTTAATGTTTAAAGTGAATCCGCTGCCGTGTTAGTGTTTCTATATAATGTGGCGATCAGAGAAATAGATGAAACTACGGAACCCGGAAATGGATCCTCGACCAGAAACTTCATTGTTTTCAGCCCTGAACTTCATCATCATCATCTTCATCTCATCTGCAGCTGCAGGCGAGTTTCTGGAGGAAAAACTAAGATTGAAAGATTTTTAGATCCAGCGATAGTTACAGTGATGCTGTCCTCGTGTTCACATGGTGATCATGGTTATTGATTACGGTACCGGTTCGGCTCAGTCAAAACTCGACCATCCAGTGATACCAGCAGCAGAACCGTCTGAGTAAAGCCTGTTGAAGCCTTAAGACCCATAGAGACCCAGACCGTCTGGTTCTGGTTCTGATTCTTTGACTATTCACCATGAAACATCAACATTAAATAACTTCCAAAGATCACAGCTGCACCAGACTTCCTGTATCTCTCTACAACAGTTCTGATCACATTTACATGGTCACTTGATGACGTCATCTTAGCCCCGCCCACTTTTAACAGGCAGTAACCAGTTTTTCCTGCTGTGTTTCACTGATATTCTATCATTTTTATGGGTTTCATCATGTTAATACTGACTTACAATGATAAGATGATGGACTCTGTGAATTCTGGCTGCTGACTGAACTGCAGTGGGGTGTAGAAATGATGAACTGCAGTCCCTCGCCATGTGCATACGATCGGCTCTTAATGACGTGAATCATCTGACTGGCACCAAACTGGATATGTATGACCTTTGTTGACCTCTAAAGACCCCAACAGCATAGAAATGTAATTTGACTCCACTGCGCCCCCTAGGTTAATCCATCAGCTGTATCTCCTCGCTTTGTCAGCTGATTGGCTCCAGATCTTTTGTGCGTCGTTGGGCAGCGCCGCCAAACGTATTGATGCGCATCGCCTGTCAGACGGGCGCAGAAACAGATTCAACAGGCTGAACATAGGATTGTTTCTAGTGTGTTTCTGCTTTTTATTGATCATTTTAATGTGTTGATCACAGTCTAGTGCTGCTTCATGTAAAACATGTTTTGTCTACAACAGTAAAATAATTCAGTAGTTTCTTCCTGGTCCTGTCAGCTATCGCTCTCACAGCATTCTGGGATATGTAGTCCTTTCTGCTCTGTGTGGATAAATGAAGACCTTCATGTTATGGTCTTTGTAGCATCAATGTTCTGATGTTAAAGGTTCCTTTGCTAAGTCAATAAATGACCTTTAACCTCTGCTCTGTTTCCTCTCTTGCAGATCAGACAAACATCACAGCTGAAGCTGGACAGGACACATTTCTGCCCTGCAGATCTCCTGATCATAAACCTGTTGCTTTCGTAGAGTGGAGCAGATCTGATCTGGGATCAGAATATGTTCTTCTGTACAGAAATGATCAGCTTGATCTAGAAAACCAGCATGTGATGTTAAGGACCGAGTGGATCTGCAGGACAGACGGATGAAGGACGGAAACGTGTCTCTGGTTCTGAGGAACGTGACGACTGATGACAGAGGAGCATACGAGTGTCGAATCATTCAGACAGAAACAAACAGCAGGAGGAAGACCATCATCATCATCAACCTGGATGTGACGCCTCCAGGTGAGTCGATGTTCGTTTGTCTCAGATTTCAGCAGTGAGCGTCTGAGAGATAAACTCATCTTGGAAGACAGTCTGGCTTTCTGCTACAGAAATAGATATTAACTTAAATATATCACCATGATGTTCTCTGTCTCGGACATTAAAGACTCTGGATTTATTTCAGGACTTAGTCTGGTTGTTTCCTTTCTGTTCAGATCATTTGATTCAATTCTCACTAATGACTCAATCTGGATTTTCTTTCTTTGACTTGAATTTCTTTTTCATTTCAATCAATGAACAGAAGAAGTTATGATGGGTGATTTTCTGTGCTGGTTTTGTTCTCTATGATGGTTTTCAGTAAAATCATTTCTGATGAATATTATTATCTGATGTTCACCAGTCTGTCCAGCAGGGGGCGTCCTTCCTTTAACAGCAGCATTAATATGGAGAACAACTTGTCATAGTGATGTCATATGACCTCATATGACCTCTCTGTGATGACCCTGATAGTCCACAGGGACCGAGAAGCTCTAACCCAGAGAAGATCATCGGAACCAGAACCAGTTGGAGTTGAGGTCCATTCAACTCCAACTGGTTCTGGTTCTGATGATCTACATCTCTTGTAATTGGCTCTTCTAATGTGTGAAACACAATGAAAGAGCCAACATGAAGTTCCACTCAACTCAGTCTGAATTGAAATTTTTTCTGCTCAACATTTTTAAATTATTTTTACCATCTGTTAAACTAACAGATGTGAACAAATCCCATCATCCAGTGACTCCAGTCCTCCAACACACCCTGAAAGGGACAAGTAAAGGATGGAGGATAATAATTCCTGAGAAACGAGCAAAAATCAGGGAGGCTTAATAATGTGAGCTTGGAGCAGCAATCAGAGAACCAAGGACTGATGGAACCAAGAAACTGATAGAACCAAGAACTGATAGAACCAGGAACTGATAGAACCAAGGACTGATAGAACCAAGAACTGATAGAACAACCTGATAGAACCAAGAACTGATAGAACCAGGAACTGATAGAACCAAGAACTGATAGAACCAAGGACTGACAAAACCAAGAACTGATAGAACCGACTGATAGAACCAAGAACTGATAGAACCCAGGAACTGATGGAACCAAGGACCGATAGAACCAAGAACTGATAGAACCAAGGACTGATAGAACCAAGGACTGATAGAACCAAGGACTGACAAAACCAAGAACTGATAGAACCGACTGATAGAACCAAGGACTGATAGAACAACCTGATAGAACCAAGAACTGATAGAACAACCTGATAGAACCAAGAACTGATAGAAACCAGGAACTGATAGAACCAAGAACTGATAGAACCAAGAACTGATAGAACCAAGAACTGATAGAACCAAGGACTGACAAAACCAAGAACTGATAGAACCGACTGATAGAACCAAGAACTGATAGAACCAGGAACTGATGGAACCAAGGACCGATAGAACCAAGAACTGATAGAACCAAAGACTGATAGAACCAAGGACTGATAGAACCAAGGACTGATAGAACCAAGGACCGATAGAACCAAGAACTGATAGAACCAAAGACTGATAGAACCAAGGACTGATAGAACCAAGAACTGATAGAACCAAGGACTGATAGAACCAAGGACTGATAGAACCAAGAACTGATAGAACCAAGGACTGATAGAACCAAGAACTGATAGAACCAAACACTGATAGAACCAAGAACTGATAGAACCAAGAACTGATGGAACCAAGAAACTGATAGAACCAAGGACTGATGGAACCAAGGACTGATGGAACCAAGGACTGATGGAACCAAGGACTGATAGAACCAAGAACTGACAGAACCAAGAACTGATAGAACCGACTGATAGAACCAGGAACTGATGGAACCAAGGACCGTAGAACCAAGGACTGATAGAACCAAGGACTGATAGAACCAGGAACTGATAGAACCAAGGACTGTTAGAACCAGGAACTGATGGAACCAAAGACCGATAGAACCAAGGACTGATAGAACCAAGGACTAATGGAACCAAGGACTGATAGAACCAAGGACTGATAGAACCAAGGACTGATAGAACCAAGGACTAATAGAACCAAGGACTGATGGAACCAAGGACTGATAGAACCAAGGACTGATAGAACCAAGAACTGATAGAACCAAAGACTGATAGAACCAAGGACTGATAGAACCAAGGACTGATAGAACCAAGGACTGATGGAACCAAGGACTGATAGAACCAAGAACTGATAGAACCAAAGACTGATAGAACCAAAGACTGATAGAACCAAGGACTGATAGAACCAAGGACTGATAGAACCAAGGACTGATGGAACCAAGAACTGATAGAACCAAGAACTGATAGAACCAGGAACTGATAGAACCAAGGACTGACAGAACCAAGAACTGATAGAACAACCTGATAGAACCAAGAACTGATAGAACCAGGAACTGATAGAACCAAGAACTGATGGAACCAAGAACTGATAGAACCAAGAACTGATAGAACCAAGAACTGATAGAACCAAGGACTGA